GGACCACCGGGACCACCGAGAACACCGAGACCACCAAGACCACCGAGACCACCGAGACCACCGAGACCACAGGGACCACAGGGACCACAGGGACCACAGGGACCACCGAGACCACCAAGACCACCAAGACCACCGAGACCACAGGGACCACAGGGACTGTTAATTGTATAGAACAATATTTAGATATATATTTATTTATTTTCTATTTAAGTGTTTTGAGCAGAACTGTTTGCGTTTCCTTTGTCCGATAAGTAACTGGTATGTAATGATATGTTTCCCTTGAGTATAGTATTCTGTTCTTAGTAGTTCGTAATATGTAAATTCGTTTAGTTTTCTCATGTTGTAGTCAAGCCGTGTAATTCACCGACAAGGTAAATTTGAATTGTATTTTCTATATTATATTTCTTGTAACCAGTAGATAGTAGATTTGTAATGTACCGTATACTTAATATTTTGTTGATTGTGAAATAGAACCACACTTATTTAACTGTGCGTTACTTGGTTGATGAATTTTGGCTACAACATAAAGTTCTTGTCGAACAAAAGGTATGCCTTAGTTACGTAAAGTTATTGCCATAAAGCCGATTCTATTTCCTTCAAGATGTCTGTGGACGATCTAAGAAGAGTGAAAAGCTCAATGGCGGCCTACCGTGGCCATCTAACTAGGCTATATAATCAAGTAGATGCAATTGAAATACAAACTTTATCGCCTATGGAACACAAAGCGAAGTTTGACGCTGTTGTTAATTTATTCAAATCATATGAAGAACTATGTTTTATCTGCTTACAAAGTCTTCCCTTACAGGAAAGACAAGTAATCATTTCTTGTTATAAACAGGAGTATGAAAGATTTAAAAATTTTAACGAACAATTTGTTTTAAACGGTCATGAAGCCGCAAGGCCCTTTGACCAACGCTCAACGACTAGTCTTCCTGAACTACGAGAGCCAAGAAGACCACAATTTACTTATCCAGCATCGGCGAGCATAGCCCACCTTCCTACTCAACGAAAAAGCGATATGTACATCGGCAATCCCTCACCGAACAGCGGAATCGATCCAATCGGCCGTCGTACAAACCTACCAAGYCAACGTGACGACGTTTCAAGCAATAAGAGTGAACCTAGTGGACGCCGAAGTTTGCTATTGGCTCAATTAAAGGTCAAGCAACTCGAAGAGGAACAGGAGTTRATGGACGCTGAACGTGAATTGGAAACAAAACGAATCCAAATGCGGAGAAAATTGCTCAAGGCCAAGATTGAAGCGGAAAAAGCAGAATTTTTGACCAAGATCGAAGATGAAGAATGTGATAAAAGATCAAGCTCTTTACAAGATGTGCCTAAACAGAGTACAGCCKAAAAGGTGGGACAGTACTTACRGTCCATGAAGTGCAACTTGCCTGAAGTTGACGTCCAATCTGTGGCTTCCTCTTGCTGGCCACGCCCTCYGATAAAGCAAGAACCTACACCACAAAAACAGCAATCAACATCCAAATACGCCCCTAACACAATGTTTCCAAAGGCGACTGGTCCAGACTATCAGCTCTATGAAGTACAGCAAACACTAAACCTACTTACAGCTGGTCTAGAGAAGCTTGAAATGCCAAAGAGAGAATTTCTCACGTTTGACGGAGACCCTACGAGATATCACAGATTCATCAGGAATTTTGAAGTAAATGTTGAAGACAGAGTCAAGGACAACAACATTAGGCTTTCATACCTCATCCAGTATTGCACAGGCGTCGCCAAAGAAGCTATTGAAAATTGTGTCATTCTATCCCCTGACACTGGATATCGTGAAGCCCGCAAGATACTGCGCAACAACTTTGGACAGCGACACAACATTGTCCGCGCCTTTGTTAACAAGGTAACCGAAGGTCCACAGCTAAAGGCTTATGAGACGGAGAAACTGATGCAGATGGCACGTGATATGAGGAATTGCGAGCTCAATTCCTTACAGATGGGATACAAGTCCGACATAAATTCAATGGAGACTCTGAAGAGAGTAGTGAAGCGTCTTCCCGTGCACTTACAGGCCAAATGGGCTGAAGTATCTGGACAAAT